CTCCCCCCACCATCCCCCTTCCCCTCCCCTCCTCTTCTTTCTTTCCAGTCTCTGTCACCCAGACTGGAGTGCCCTGACACGATCATGGCTCACTGCAGCCTTGACTTCCTGGGCTTAAGTGATACCTTCCACCACAGCCTCCTGAGTAACTGGCATCACTACATTCAGCTAATTTTTTATATTTTTTTTTTGTAGAGACAGGGTCTCACTGTGTTGCCCAGGCTGGTCTCAAACTCCTGGACTCAGGCAGACCTCTCACCTTGGCCTCCCAAAGTGCTGGGATTACAGGTGTGAGCCACCATGCCTGGCCTGAAGCTAAGAATTTTTGAACACCTGATCTGAACCCTAAAGGAGTGAAGGGCTTAGTATCAGCTGAGTATTTTTATGTAGAAAAAAAGGCTCCTTCCTTCCCCAATTTTCTCGAATCTGGATGGGAGTTTTTGGGGTAAAGGGGGAACTGCTTCTTCCTGGCTTAACCCTAATTTTGTATTTTCTCCCCCCCAACCCCCATTTTTAACTATACCCCTCCCTCCATCACTTTGGTACAATAAATTAATTATATCCACATACTAGAAACCCAGTTTGGCTAATGAGGTTAACAGTTAACACCCTATCCCTATCTCTTCAAGGTGGCCCCAGTCCCTCTTTGATGCAATCACTGAAGATCTTCTGTAGGTCTTCTTTGCCACAGACTCCATGGTGATTTTAAGGGGGAGTGGGATGCAGAGGGTGACAAGAAAGGGGGACAGATAGGATGTTATTTGTTCTTCAGGATGAGGAAAGCTGCCTCAAATAATCATAACCTGCACAGCTGGAGTACTGGGAGAAGTGGAGATTGACCCAATGTTGAAGTGGAGTAGGAGAGGAAAAGGAAAAGGGGAGGGGGAATAAGGTAGAGTCTAGGCACTGAGCTAGAAGAAAGTAAAAGGCCTGAGGCTTATGAGAGAAATAAATAGAATAAGTCTGGATACCCACTGTCACCCCTCCTCTCCTGTCTCACTGTCACCTGGATCAAACCAGTGGATATGCCCTTCTGTCATGTCTTTTCCTGGAAGGCCCTACTGACAGATGTGCAACTTGCTGCCCTTTTGAAGGGTACAGTATTTACACAAGGGGTAGGGGAGGGGTTAGTATAAGATACAGAAATAGCAGTCTTTAAACCTGCTAAAGGGACTGCCTTCCAGGTGTGACATTCTGTGGGGAAGTGGACAGCCTCACTGCCAAGAGTAGACCAACACCAAGCCTGCTCTTTCAGATGGAAATGTTTATTTTCTCTACCTAATACTTGAATTTCATGCAAAAGCTTCATCAGGCACAGGCCTTGCAGATCTTGTCTCTAAATGCCATTCACCAGTTTTCACCTTCTGTGCTGCTATCTTGGTGCCATCTGTGAGGAGAAAAACACTTTAGAGTCTGCTCTTTTCTGTGGTGTAAGCCTCATTTGTTTGCAGGCAGTCCTGTCTCTGGCAGAAATTTGGAGATGGGGCAGGTTGAATCTGACTGGTTTGGTAACCTTACCTTTCCTCCAGTTTTCCACTGGGTACCTGATATTTCTCCCCATAAAGTACTCTAAGCGTTGTTAAAGAGGAGAGTGGAAAACAGAGAAGGAATGCAGAATGGTTGCAGGAGTCAAATTTAATTTGAAAATTGCTTAATAGGTCATGGGTTTGTCTTGTACAAATTATATGCAAATATCTCTGTGGCTATTGTATGTGAATAGAGCTATACCAGCTCAGCAAGAGTCTGGAGTCTAGCTTCTTGTTCTCTTCCTGATTCTGGCTGATTCTGGGCAAGACCCTTTCTCTTTGAGTTTTTCTTTTTTTTCCTTTCCCATTTTACAAGATTTGCAGGGGTGTCATAAAAAACTCAGATGATGAATTTCTGTTCAAAAATCTGTACTGGTTCCCCACTGACCGTGGGATAAAGTCCAAATGCTTGGCATTAAAACCCTTTTATGGTTTGATTCCAATCTACCTTAGCCATATCTGGCCACCTTCCCTCTGTGTACCCCACAATATCTACTGGTCATTCTGGGAATGCATTTGCTCACTCAGAATAGAATACCCTTCCCCTCACCTCTGCTCATTGAAATCTGACCCTGCTTTTAGTATCTGTCTCTAAATGCCACCTCTTCCCAGAAATTGTTCTCCTCTCCCTTCCCCCAATCAGGAATAACTTCTTGCTTTTCTGTACTTTATAGCACTACTTTTTTTAAAGGTATGTCTTGCCCTATATTTTTGCATTTGATTAAATTGAAACCTCCTTGAGGGCAACGATAATGTTCTCATTCATATTTATATGCCCCACAGTGCTTTAGAGAGTTCACATAATATTTGGTCCTTGGTAATGTATGTTAAATTGAAGTGAACTGCTGTGTGAGGCCAAAGCTTAGAGTTTTTTAGGGTTTGTGACTGATTTGCTCTTGGGAAAGGCAAATTAGCTTTTCTCTCTGCTAAATTGGGGAGAGGTATCTTTGTCTAGACAGATATCAGGATGGATTGGAATCAACATGTGAATGTCCTTTGAATGTTCTGGAATAAAGTTATCTATAGACTGTATACATTATTATTAATATTTCCAAAATTAAGAAAATGTTTATTCAGAAATTAAAATCATTTCTAACCATGTTTATAAAATGTGTTCAGTCTTACCACCTTCTCTGAAGGCAGAAACTGTACATATATTTTTTAACCTGATGAAGTCCCATGATACAGTGAGTTAACTACTGAGCTTGGAGTTGAACTTGGAGATCTTTCCTTGAAACTTTTTTCATCTGACTGTGTTATGCTTGCCTCTGGCCCTCCGGGAGCCCTGGGAGAAGCTGTCACTGAAGATTTGCATATATGTTTTCAGATTGTCTTCCTCATCAACCTTCTACCATTACTACCATCTTTTCTTTTTTTGTTAAGGTGGAGACAGAAATCCAGCGTGTCTCGGAGGCATATGAGAACCTTGTGAAGTCATCCTCCAAAAGAGAGGCCCTGGAGAAAGCCATGAGAAACAAGCTGGAGGGCGAGATTAGGAGAATGCATGACTTCAACAGGGATCTGAGAGGTGAGGGAACCAGTGGGCTTGTCTTTGTCCTTGTAACGCAGTTTGCAGGGTGATGAAGAGAAGTGCCTAGAAGGCTCTGACTAGGTACTTTAGAGTTGTCCAGTACACTGGTATGGGCAGTACATGACTGGGCATATGCCAGGTAAGTTTTTGTGACAGCAATAGTACTTTGTCCCAAGCTTGATTAAGCAAAGTGGAAGGATGCACCTGACTGGCCTTCTGAGCGATGCTCTGAAGTGTTAATCAGGCAGGATCCCTCCTGGGACTCCTGGACCCACACAACCCAACCCCATAATTGCCTTTCTTCCTTTACAGGTTTTGCAAAGATGCCTTTTGGTTGTGCAAGCTTGAGATATGATGTCCTTTCTTATTTTTAGGATTCACTCTCCCCTTTTATTTTTTACCTTCACCTGATAACTTTGGGAAATGCTTTTACTTTAAATCACCTTGAACACCTTCAAAACTGTGGACCTTGGGGATGTTGTTTTCTGTCCTCCAATTTCACTTATCTTATCTATTAGATCAAGGGACTTAACTAGATATTGCTTGTGGTCTCTTTCTAGTTTTGACACCATGTGATTTTAATGACTTTATAATAACTGTGACACTCTTTTTCCTGGTTAATGAAAGATATCGTTATATATTCAGAGACGGATTATTCCATTGAAATTTAGAATTCTGCACTTAGGTTTTGGCAGTAAGCAGTGAAAATGCTATGTACTTACTTCCTCCTTTCCTACCATATTCTAGTAATGTTTTATGATTCACATTTGCAAACCCATGTCTGTCACCCATTTCTGTTTAACTAGAAGAAGGAGGCTTGTTTTACTAAGGATCAGTATTTACAGGGCCAGTGTCATACACTTAAAAGTTTGTATTTGATACCCTGTTGATTGTCTCCAAATTCCACAGAGCGTCTAGAAACTGCCAACAAGCAACTTGCAGAGAAGGAATATGAAGGGTCAGAGGACACCAGAAAAACCATCTCACAGCTCTTTGCAAAAAGTAAGTATGCAAGCTTCAAAAGGAGGTATTAATGTGTGGATGGGAGCAAGGTGCATGAAAAGATTACACTGTTCTCTTTAGCTTTCCAGAACAACCAGGGCAAAGTGAACACCCTAGGGTGATTTTTTTTTTTTCCTGTTCAGGCTTGAAGTTGGAAGATTCTGTTCTTTTTCTTCTAGACCAAGAAGGCTGTTTGCCATATCTAGTCATATCAGATGACTCCTTCTCTATTATACTAGAGAAGCCCCTTGAAATCCCTTGCTGCCATTATGACTATCTGAATAAAGGGCCTTAACTGAACATGGGTCACTTCATGTTGAATGAATTTTCTTAGAAGATTTCATGTGCCGGCCCTGGTAGAGATCGTATTAACATGTAGGATTGTTGGTTAGTGTTTGGAATACCTAACCTGTACCTGGGGCTCCCTTAGTTAAGCACCTAGTATTATATTACATTGTAATACACTGGCATATTGCAAAGGAAGTTAGAATGGAGCCAATGCTATGGCCTCAGTGGGTGACTGGTTGCAGAGGTGGAGGGTATGGGGGAGGGTAGAGCTGTGTCTTCCTCATAATAGTGTTTCCATTGTCTGGAAATACTCCTAGGACTGTGACAATGAATTAATCCTCTTCTTTATCGGTCCCTAATGGACCCCACCCAGCTAGACAATGCATAATTCTTTCCAATTGCCATCATAAAACCAGCAATAAAAACTTCACAGTGGTTTGAATCCACAGGGAGAATTAGTTGGGGGGAAACAGATGGACTGCTCTCATTTCTGCAGATGCCCATAGTTGTTTTCCCCTACTCCCCAGCCCTCCCTAGTATAGCTCCGGTTGTAGTCATGCTGGGTGGGGACTTGTCAATCTCTTCCATCTTTGCTGAGCTTCCAGATGACCCTTTCAAGTCATTCCTTGCAACTTCTGGTCAGCTTTTACAAGTTTGTTTGATCTTCACTTACAGTATTTCCCTCCCTTCCTGTGTTGTTCTGTTGTGCTCTGGCTTCGAACGAACTTTTTCTTCCTTTTTTCCCTGTACCTCCTGTTCCTCTGTAAATATCTCTTAGAGCAAAGAATGCCATTTTGCTGGTGTCATCAGTGCCTAGTGCAGGTTGTTGTGAAGTTGCTTTTGTGGTGTCATGGTTACCCTGAAAGCTAGTTCACTGGTGGAAAGAGGGTGGCAATCTCCCAGGACAAAGCAAAATAAAATGTATGGATGCTTGCCTTGCATCTACTAGATTATACTCTTCTCTGTGTGGTGGTAATACAGGTGTCCCAGGAGCTCTGCTGCAGGTTTATAAAGTGTGATAACTTAGGTCAAGGTGTATTGACAGGAGTGTGAAAGATTGTAAAATGTCTGTAGAAGGGAAAAGTGAACACAAATTAGGCATGGAAGAAGTCATGACTCTTGTCCCCTTTCATTTCTTTGGTCTTTAGACATTGATAGGGCCCTTCATGGTTGGAACTGTAGCAGGAGGAAAGAAAGCCCTCTTGCAAAGCCTCTCTGGGGAACGTGGGAATGTGCTGCAGCAATCCTAGAGAGACCAAACCAACTCAATCTTAGGAGAAAGCAGTCTGGTATAGTAGAAACAGTTTGGGACAACCTGAGCTTAATTATGACTTCCACTATTTATTTACCAATTGTGGGACCTTGTATAAGTTAGTCAAGCTCTTCAAATTTGTTTTCTCACATGCAAAATGGAGAAGAGAATACTACCTTCCTTGTATGATTGTTCTGAGGATTAAGTTAGTTTAATACCTGGTGTGCAATATTTATTCAATAAATGTTCATTTCTTTCCAAATGCAGAGTCAGAGTGAGAAGGAAAGTGAAGCTGACATATTGAAGTTTCTCCTATAAACTTAAGGTTCAGGGTGTCCAAGGGAAGGGTACTTGACCTCCAAATTCAAATCAGAACTACTCATTTGAGTTTTTGGCGTGAGTCTAGTCCTAGTTAAGAGGAGAGGGACCTAGAAAGGGATGTGACATAACTACATGTGTCATGGTTCCCTGTAGCTTTAATGCAATTCTGGATTCAGAAACAAAATTGCTAATTTTATAGATCAGGTGAGTCAACCTTTTCATTCTAAAAACTAGTGTATAGAATCTGTCACATCACAATGAAAGGCATATGTTGAAGCTACAGATTCTCTCATTATTAATCATGATGGTGAGGATCATCATCCTCTTTATGTAGTAAGTTTCTTTGATGTTTGTGCTTTCTGACGTTTATTTTACTTAAATAAATCTGTTACCTCATTTGATCTTTAAAAACATTATGAGGTGAAATAAGATGCTGTTATTACCTCTGTTTTAATCTCTAGCTTTTTACTTTCTTAACATTTTCATCTTTTTACTTATATTATTCATCTGTTCTTGCTTACTCTTTACTTTTTTCATTAGAGGCCTTAGCATATTAATCACAGTCATTTCTTTTTTCCACCCTTCCAACTCCAGCCTCTGTCCTGACCTCTCACTTCTCTTCCTATCATCCCTCCCCATCCCAGGGCCTACCTGGGCAATCACATCTACCAAAATCAGCCCAGACCTCTCTGTAGACTTTGAGGACTAAACCTGACCTTTTTTTCCCTCTTATCCAAATTCCTTTCTGAAAGGCTTGGGAAGTCACTGCCTGGTAAGGACTCACTAGACAGGGTTTTCATTACCTTATTACCCTATATCCTAATGTTAGATCAGACAGGGGTCTGGTCTGTGATCCAGTGCCATGCAAAAGGTGCAAAGAATTGCACAGAAGTTAGATGGGAATATACAGTGTATTTAGAAAGTAAATTAGAGAAAGGAGAGGAGATTCACCTCCCCAAGGTAAGGGAGGGGCCAAAGCTTAGGAAAACATGGCAGCCATAGTTTAATGAACATATGGCCTGGTCAGTGCTTAGCAAAGCAGTGGTCAGTCACAGTCATTTTAAATTCACACAGTTTGATGATTCTAATATCCCTGCCTTATCTGGGCATAGTTTTGATGCTTGCTCTGTTCATTCAAACCATGTATTTTACCTTTTGGTGTGCCTTGTGTGTGTATATGTGTGTATGTGTATAATGGCAGACCTCACGTACAAAGTAAAAGGAACGGTGATAAATAGGCCTTTAGGGATGTGATGGTAAGGTCTGGGGAAAAGGGTAGCACACTCTAGTCCTATGGTTAGGGTTCAGTCTTAGTGAGCCTGTGCCTCAGGACTGGGAACTTTACCAGCATGGCTCAGTTTTTTTTCCACCCCCCTAGGTGGTGCAGGATGGCTAGAGAAGGCTTCAGTTAGGCATTTTCTTCTCTCACGTGGAAGGCTAGAACAGGCTGGAGTTGGGTCTTTCCCTTTGCCTTGGTTAGTTAAGCTCTGGGGGAAAAGCCCAATAGCTTAGGCTCTGACAAAATATATTCTCTTGAGGGCAAGCCATGTTAAAGAACAGAATGCCCTGTAATATTTCATAATTGTGCCATTTTCCCTTCCCCTGCTAGAAGCACAAGGGGTCCATCTAACTAGCACCTATAACTAGGCCCAAGCAATGAATCTTTAAGTGAACATTTGGGAAGAATGAGAATTATTGCTTAACTGAGCTCTCTTTAAAACCTAAGCCAGGCCGGGCACGGTGGCTCACGCCTATAATCCCAGCACTTTGGAATCTGAGGTGAGAGGATTGCCTGAGCCCACGGGTCCATGACCAGCCTGGGCAACTTGGCAAGACGTTGTCTCTACAATAAATCAACAAAAACTAACTAGGCATGGTGGCGCATGCCTGTAGCTACTTGGAAGGCTGAGGCAGAAGGATCGCCTGAGCCCAGCAGGTCGAGGCTGTGGTGGCCATGAGTGTGCCACTGCACTCCAGCCTGGGCAGCAGAGTGAGATTCTGACTCCAAAAACAAAAACAAAAACAACAAAAAAAGGAAAATGACAGAAGCACAGTTGAGCCAGTGCCATACTACACACTGCTATCGTAATTTAATTCAACCTTGAAAAGTAATACATAGATTATATCTCTTAAAATGTGTATGCATTTTTTGGCACCTTTGTATATATATACACACATGTATATGTAGATACATAAGCATATCAGACTACTTCTTAAAAAAGCTAAACTTTCAAGCTCTAAGATGCTTAACCCTACTAAAAGGAAATTCTCAACTAGAGGATGTTTTTTTCAGGTGAAATGGCTGTCTGTATTACTCTGATCCTGATGTTTTCCCTTTAACTCTGCCCTATTCTTTCCAGTGTTCCCTCCACACTCAGCCTATTCTACAGGAGAAGGAGTAGGAGAAAACATAGAATGGCTTCCAGTTTTATTTTGCTCTCTTTTTAAAGTCATTGGTTCCCAAGAGAAGCAGATGTTGAGATAAAGTGGGTTGGGTTAGGGGGTAATGTTGTGTTAGGCATTCCCTGGAGAGGACACATTGTTAAGTAGACTTGATTTCAGTTAGAAAATAATGTTAGTGTGGAAAGGGTGAGATTTGAGGTTTTTATCCATTTTATGAAATATCATTTTTAGATTTATTTAATGTATCTTGAGGACACAGTGGGAAAAGGTGTTTTTTAAAGCTCAATTGCTTTTTTTGCCAATGCAAGACCATTTTGGAGTAATAAAATTGAGAAGACAAGCCTATTTTTTCTTCTGATGTGTGTGGTTGTGTGTGTGTATGTACACATTCTTCTTTGTGCAATGCCAAATACATTTCATGACACTTTATATCTACTTCCTCATTACTTATGCATAACCACCATTTAGTTTTAAGTGACTTTTCTGAATTTACATAGCAAGTTAGTGGTTGAGCCAGGGATACAGTCTAGATCTTGGGGATCCTGGTTCTTCAGCTGTACGCTAGAACAGCAGGGTGTCTAGTAGTGGGTATGACTTGTCAGGTTTGCTCAGGTAAGGCTTTCAGCCAGCTCCAAGTTGACAGTACTGATATTTCATGTCCTGACAGATAAAGAAAGTCAGCGGGAAAAGGAGAAGTTGGAAGCAGAGTTGGCCACTGCCCGTTCTACCAACGAGGACCAAAGGCGACACATCGAAATCCGAGACCAGGCCCTGAGCAATGCCCAGGCCAAGGTGGTGAAGCTGGAAGAAGAGGTATGGTTTCCCAGATGGCATATGAGCCTGAGGGTGAGAACGCTGGACAATCAAGGGGCCTGGTCTTCCCATTTTGGTGAAGTGGAAGTTATGCCATCCCCAACAGGGAGGTGTCGTCGTCTGTTTCTAGTTAAGGCTGTGCTGATATGAGTGGACTTTTATTTATTTTCTCTTCTTTGCAAGTTCCTTTCTTTTGATCTAAAAGAGCAAATCACCCGAGTCAAGGAGCAATATCCATTTGCTCATTCATATAATAGGCTAATAGGCTAACTGCTCCCACACTCTAAGCTCTTACTATAGATTTAGCCCACCGTAAGCCTTTGAAAGATATATAGATATAGATAGATATGTATATACTTTAACTTGTGCCCTTAAAGACTTTTAAAACTTTGTTTTGGAAAAGTACGAAATGATTCTAGATAGCTTAAAGTACTCTAAGGATCTTGAAATTAGAATAGTCCTTGTTTCTCCATGCTTAGTGGGAAGTCAGTCCCGCTCAGGTCAAAAATGAATCCTGATGGCCATACCTTTTGCTATAGTACTTACTTGGCAGATTGGTTTTGGAATAGAAGCAAGCAATCTTGGGGAGGTATGGGACAAGATGGGACCCAGGGACAGTTTGCAGTTTATGCCAGGAGAATACACTGGTCAAGAGCTGTACTGTGACTCTTAGTGGCTAGTTTCTAGAATGCAGTTATATGGTGGGGCGAACTTGTCAGTCACTTATATGCAAAGGTGGAGCCTTCCCTTGACAAATGCAAGGGCACCCAAACTATTAAGCATATGATTAATATGTATCTGATTAGTCTTGATGTAGATGCTACTCGATTGAACATTAAACCTTGTTCATGTGAAATAGAGGGAACTTTGTTGCTGTTTTGTCATCAATTAATCTTGGATGTCAGTTGCATGGGAATACAACTAACTCTTAGATGTTTTGCACTTCAGAGAATGGGTACGTTCCAGCAAAAATTCATGCTAAAGTGTAACTTGGTGAAGAAAATTTCATATCTCACTAATTTTAATTCTAAAATTTGAATTGCTTTAAGAGATAGAATAGACTCCTTCACAACAAGTTGAAAGCATTATAAATTTGAAACAGAAGAGAAGCATTAGTGCCCAAATAACATTCTGGCTATTGTATATGAGGTATCTTTTCTGCCTTCATTCATTGCCTGCTTCCTCTCCTTTAGTAAGACTAGATCTTAGTTTCTGGAGATCTCCTGACTTAACAGATTTCCTGTGTTTTCTTTTTTGAATATTAAAATGCTGTTGGGATTGAGTTGTGGGTTCATACTTTGCCAGTAAGAATTGCCACCTAATCCATGACATCCTTTAGCCTGACTTGCTTAAGTGTTAACTTCAGGTTGTATAAAATCATGTCAATGTCCTGCTTCACCAGTTATCTGTATTAGAACTGTGCTAAGTTGCTTATGGAAAATGAGGAAGTCTTATATTTGCCTTGTGTCCAGTCTTAGGAACTTTTCATACCCTTAACTTTTTGTTACACTTCATATATTCCCTTCCCTCCCATTTTTGCAAGGAAATTCCAGAGAAAATTACGGGACAGGGTAAGATCAGATTCCTTTAGAGAAGGGCAAGCTGAGAGACCTGCTGAGAAGAAATAATTTGCTGGTGGCCACATGGCAAGTCTTGGGTAGAGCCAGGAATAAAACTGGTATCTCATAACTCTTCATTCCCTAAACCCTGCTGCCTGTCTCCCTGTCTGAATCATCCTTTGGTTCAACTCCGAAAAAGAAAATGTGGGCGTGTGTTCAGATTTAGTAACCTCTGCATCTTTTAGTTTAGTTTTTTTTTAAAAATCACTTCACCTATTGGGCCCTCTTTTTCAAAAGACTATGAGAAGCTTGTTCAGACTGTGTTGAGATTGGGGTGTATAGACAGCCCTGCTGCCCCTCCAGGAAGGGTGCTTAGCCAGTTGGAGATAAATGAGGAAAGTGTGTCTGCAGCCATCTTGGTTTGCAGTGTCTGAGGGCACAGTGGTAACTGGTTGTTAATCATGAAAATGATATACATGCAGGGAGAAGATGTTCAGCTGTAGTTCCCACTGGGCAGTCCTCACTAAAAGAGTTGCCTGAAATATATTTCTGGCTTTAGATCTCTGAGGCTTTTCTGGGCATTTGTTCCAGAGATTTTAGTAGTTTTCCAGGGACCTGCCCTGAAATATGTACTTTACAATTTACAAAGAAGTTCTAAATATTGAGCTGGGATTGGATGTTGGCATCTAGTGACCAGATATCTCAAATGAGCTCATCAATTATTGTTAAGTGTTTGGTCCTCATCCAGTTTATCTAATTGTGAGGAAATTGCAAATTACTCTTGCTAAAGGAAGTGAATCCTTTAACTGAAAGAGCAGGCTCACCACCTTCTACCCAGCAGAATCTCAGAGGCCATGGAATGTCTTCTAGACTCTTCAGGCTGTATCACTTCTAGCATATATAAGGGCTAAATTTTAAGACCACATTTCAGGGAAAATAAGCTGGTTCTTACTTCTCTTTTGGTTTCAGCCTTTCAGCTGGATTTGCTCCTGTGTGCTATTTGTCCTGCCTCCCCTGTATTGTTCAAAGGAAAATATTCTCTGCACTTATCTTCAAATATAAAAATTGCTAATTAAAGTTTTGCTTTTCTGCTGTGACTCAATCTCCATTAGAGCTTGCTCTTTCTGGGGTAAAATTTTTAAGTATAGAACATTAGGGAGGCATTTGAGGCATGTAGGTGGCTCTGGAACAGATCTAGGAAGGAGTCTTATTGTGGTTCCTTCACAAAATCAGTGAACATTTCTAAACCAAGAAGGGTATTCACAAATAGAAGAGTCATCCCTCTGTCTGGTGTAGATGGCTCAAATAAGGCTGTGCTTGAAGGTAGACAGATAGTTGTCTGTGGCTTACAAATGGCACCATGAACTTGCCTTTTTTTCCTTAGGCCTTAGAAGTTCTAGCTTACTTAACAAATCAGACTGAGGGAAACTCTTAAATTAAGCCTTTTGTCAGGGGAATAGTTTCTCAGCTTTCTATGTACACATCACTCAGGTAACTAGTTGTCATTATTTCAAGATGGTCTGGGAAAGATTATGATTACTTCAGTGGTCCAAGGACCCTTGCATTTATTTACATCTTCCTATTTATAAAGGCCTTATTTACATGCTATTCCTAAAATTCATTCTGTTCTTCTAATCCCATTAATTCTCTTGCCCAAGGTCCTCTATAATCACTGTACTCTAAGCTCTACACAGAAATGTTGCCTCAGGCTTATAGAGAACTTTTTCCTGCAATCACAGCTTCCATTCTCTTCCAAGTTCAGCGCACATTCCTTCATGGATCTTGCTCTGCTGACATCCAGGGAGGTATCTTGCTGGGGGGGGGATAGTACTCTATAAAGCAGACCTATTTTTTTGATGAGACGCTCTGATCCAAGCCTTGAACCAGTCTGTACTCTATGCAGCAGCAGCCAAACGAGGTAAATGGTGTCTTTCCGTTCTTGCTGTTATCTTTCGGGACACGTAGGTCCTATTGAAGTGAAGCCTCATTAAACACCAAGTCAAAAGAGCTCTGTGTCCTACAGCAACCATGGTATTCTCCCATTCAAAAAGAGCCTCCCCACCCCCTACCAATTTGACCTCACTGGAGAGTTTCGACGGATGCCTGGCATACCCTCTCACAAGGCTCAAGGCAGCCCAAGCTTCTGACGGGCTGCTGTCTTATGATGATCCGGAGTGGAAACCGCTTGGGTAATTGTTTCAGGGATGGTGGGAAAAAGGCCTTGGCAAGATCAAAGAGAGGAGATGTTGCGGGTGGGCTGCTTACTGAGCTGAGTGCACAGGAAGGGAGAGAGCGGAATGTGGGAGGGCTGGCAGAGAGAGCCAGTGAGCCTTGTTCTTTGGCTTTAGGCTAGAATGAAAGCCATAGAGATTCAGCAAGAAGGGGCCCAAGTGTTAACCTTTTCTGAACTGCAGTGTCTGGTGATGATTTAGACATCACATTGATAGCTCTTATTGAGTACCCCGTGCATTTTCTAGAGTCCTGTTTCCATTCTATTCAAGTCTCTGAAACTAAATTCATATCATTTTGCTCCATTTCCTCCATTCTTCAAGGCTGATATTTTTTTCTTCTTTGAGGAAGGAAGATTTGATTAATCAAACTTGATTATTTTGATTTTTTGTTTGTTTAAAAGATGCATTATTTTCTGCTACCACACCTATCTACAAAGTATCATAACTAGTTTCCTCCTTTCCTGATATTAGAAGAAGATATCTTAGCCGTAGACATTTATATGTCTAATACTCCAAATTAATTTTCAAACAATAGGATTCTGTTGGTGAAAATACATCTCACCCAGTAGTTATGATGGATTATAGATTTGGATGGAAGATCTGAGGCTATGAATTATGTGTATATCTAGAGTGTTGATGGGATTCAGATAAAGTACATATCTAGCCAGGAATCTTCCAGGGTGTTCTGCTGGTGAATTATTGACTTATTTGAAGGGCAGTTCATCTAAGATGACATCTTCCATATTTATGGCAGCGTATTTTTGTCAAAGTAAGTGTAGCTCCACCCGGTGTGTTAAAGCAAAAAGAATGAAATGATGTTACTCCCCTCCAGTAGAGATGGAATGACCTCGCTAAGCTCAATTCCTTCAGTCTTTCCTATGATTTTGGCTTTTGAAATTTGCAATTGGGAGTCTTTTGGATTTCTTTTTAGTCTCCTTTACAACATGAGCTCTCTTTCTGAGGCAGTAAATTTTTAGAGGTGGTTTTTTTTAACTCTTCAATTCTTTTAATATCCACCAATGGACCACAGCCTCCTGGCAATGGACAGAGGCAGCTTGCTAATACCAGGGTAGTGTTACCAAATTGCTTCAGTGTGAACCTTTACTTGGCTCTACGGGCTCCTGAGTAAGACTAAATCAAACCAAATTCAGGCTCATGGAACAGCATATAACTAACTAATGGTATGAAGGTGAGGAATGCAGAAAGTATA